CCAACCAAGCTACCAGGCCAGAAACCTACTCAGCACCAGGCCTCTGGGGAGACAGCATGAACACAGGCAAGAGTCCCCTCACCTCCGCATCCAGAAGTGAGATAACTCGCTTGTCTAGCCCAAGTCTTGACCTACCCTTTCTTGTTCTGCCGTCTCTCAGGAGTCTGGGTCTATGGTCCAAGTTCTAAGTGCTAGGTTACAGCCTAAAATGTCTATATGGGATGTTACAGCAATTCAGAAGCTTGATCTTTTCGAAGAAATCTAAGACACAAAAGAATGCGAAAGAAATAATCATGATAGGCTAAGTATCAGCCATGAACTCTGCCCTCTAGTAGTGAGTACCATCCATCTTGGTCACATGGAGTAATTGAGTCAGCAGCTACACAAAGGCCAGTCCCTATTGTACAATATGGACCTAGCTATCAAATGATGTCCAATATGCAAAGCTCTAGTTATATCGTGACTTCAATCCAGGATACGAAGCCAGACACCCTGATAGCTCACACCTGTTGTGCTAGCTACTCAGGAGGCTGAGATTGGAGGATTGTGGTTGGAAGCCAGCCCAGGTAGAAAAGTCCTTGAGACTCTTATCTCCAAAGAACCACCAGAAAAACCCGAAGTGGCACTGTGGCTCAAAGTGATAGAGCGCTAGCTTTGAGTGAAAAAGCTCAGGACAGCGCCCAGGCCCTGAGTTCAAGCCCCACAACCAAAAACAATAAATAAAAAAAAAATCCAGGATATGTCCTAGTTGGTTTGACTTGGAATAACAGAATGCAGGAGCATGGAGTCCAGCACGCTCCTCTTTCTTTGTGTGAATGGAACTGTCCATTCCGCTCCCCCAGCCTGCTGTCCCCCAAGGTCACACAGGAGACGAGGGTTCCCCTCCAGACCTGCATGAGCAGTCAGGGCAGCCAGAGAACAGCCTGGCCAGGTGGACGAGCAGGTGTGGCCAAGACTTGAATCATGCCTCCAACCATGAGCCTAGAGAAAGGTCGGTGAACCGAGCTAGCTAGTTCAGGAGTCTGGACCAGTATATCATCCTTGGTGCCAAAGTCCTTCCTGGGACAGAATCCAGTGACAGAATCCTGGCAGGCAGGCAGCTAAGGCCAATGCATGCTGGCCTAATCTCCCCCTGAGGACAGCCGTGAATGGCCACGCTCCTCCATTCATGCAGCGAGGGGGCTCATTCACACCTCCTGAGGAGCCTGCACACACCTAGGCAAGACTACCCACAGGAAAGCTACTCATTCTTTTAGACTTTCCTAGTCTGTCCTTGCTTTCTGCTCTTTCCACAATCTTACATTGTTGTCATTGACAACTATTACCATCATCATCATCATCATCATCACCATCACCATCATCATCATCATCATCATCATCATCATCACCATCACCATCATCATCATCATCACCATCACCATCATCCCATATACCTATGCATTGCTATGTACAGTACCAGACAGCATCCTAAGTGTTAATTATGCAGCCGATATTCAGAAGTATCTATATAAGGTACTGATGATCATCTTATCACGTTTCAGATGAAGAACCTGAGACATAAAGAAGATGCAAATAGGCAGCTGTCGGTGGCTCATGCCTATTATCTTTCCTACTCAAGAGGATTATGGTTCAAGGCCAGTGAGGGCAAGAAAGTCTGTAAGACTCTTACTGCCAATAGACTACCAGAAAAAAAAAAGAGCCAAAAAGAAAGAAAAACCACCAGAAAACTGGAAGTGGCACTATGACTCAAGTGATTGAGTGCTTGCCTTGAACTGAAAAGCTGAGGGACAGCACCCAGGCCCATGGCCGCCCCCCCCCCCCCCCCCGCCAAAAAAATCCTGCTCTTCCGACAGGTGACAATGTTATCAGACACTTTGTATTCAAATACTGTTTTATAGAATGGGAACTTTCTTATACAACCACTTAAAGATAATAATTATTTTTAAATTCTGATCCTCTTGCTCTCCTCTGAACAACTTGTCTTCCATGGAGTATGCACACCGGCTCCCACCTCTAGGAGTAGGTATGTGTAAGAGACAACATATACCAGAGAGACAGATCCAACAAGACAGAAGCAGATAGAAACGTTGATTTATCCTATGAAGGGGCTTGCATGCTGAGAAATCCCATGATCAATCATCTGTGAGCCAGAGCACCAAGAAACCCAATAGTGTAATCCAGTCCAACACTGAATCACAGAGCTGGAGGAGACACACGAAGGGCATAAACTGGTCCAAGTCTGAAGGCTAAAGAAGAGAGAGGACTGAGACAGACTTGTAGATTATTAAACCCTGTTTTAGCTCCGCATGCATCCTGTTTATTCTGATCTGTGATGCAAAGAATGAGATTGTGCCAGTCTGTGCTCTGTTGCACATGGAGAAACGGAAGGTATGGAAGAAGAGGGAGGGACTTGCCTTTTCCATTCAGCTTGCCCTTCCTGAGAGTGCTACTCTGTTACTGCCTCTTCATTCCTTCAGCAGCAGTCCCTTCCTGGATCCAATCTGGATCCAAGGGCCATGTTCCTCAAACTTTCTTCAGAGACCAAGAGCACTAGCCACCAGCACTCGGCATAGAGGTCTGGGTCCCAGGCCCATTGGGCCTCTCCTTGGAAACCAGAGACCCTCACATCTTGCTGAGCACTGCTTTTCCAGGAGGTTGGGTGTGGGTTCCCTGAGCCCCTCCTCCAAGCTTTTAATTCTACCTGCCATAAGTAGACCTTGATCACATAAAAAAAAATGCATGAATCCATTATCCAGATAAGAAGGTCAAGGTCCTTGAATGGCTCCCGAAATTTCTCTTCTCCTGAAATCCTGGAACTTTTAATACCAAGGTGAAAAATTAACGTGATTTAAATGCTGATATAAAGTCAATCCACTTTTGTTACACAACTAAAACCAAAAAACACGTTTGTTTATATATATATATATATATATATATATATATATATATATATATGCATAAGATACACTCGTAGCAAATGGAATTACCTATGGCCTATGGCAGAACCTGCAGGGAATCCACTGGGTTCCAGACTGTGCCAAAGCCAGGTCTACCCTAGGGCTTTTCCATCTCATGACCTCAAACTTCCCTTTCCCTGGGGGCTGGGAATGTGGCTTAGTGGTAGAGTACTTGCCTAGGAGGCATGAGGTCCTGGGTTCGATTCCTGGGTACTACAGGAATGAAATAAGTAAAAAAAAATATTTTTAGTGGTTAAAAAGAAAAAAACAACTGCACTCCAGTTTGAACTGCACTCTGTCTTAGTTAACAGAGACAGAGACAAGACTTGGGAGAACACCAAGCCTTTGGCTGCTACTTGGCTGCATGAACATGTTAAGAGCTGCATGATGGAGCCAGACAGTCCTCTCAAACTTCCTACTTTCCTGGAGATGGGAAAAGCATTTGTAGCAAAAAAAAGGACCTGAGTGTGGGATCTGAGAGAATTTGGAATGTTCTGGATTCCCCCCCCACCCACCCCCACACACAATGACTTTACCTGCTTTGCCAGCATTGCTTGAACTACCATCACAGAGGACCTCAAGTAGCACATTTTCCAAGCAATGCATTGGCTACAACAAGCTCCTGTTGCCCTGGCAACAGACAGGAGGTTTCCCCGCCTCCCCCCACCGGAAGTCCCCTGCAGTGAAACTTCCCCAGGACCACTTGTAAAAAGCCAGTGGGAGTAGAAGAAATTCAGTGACAGAATGTAGTTGCTGGGCTACTACTCATCAGAAGCAAGCTGAGGTCAGCTGTCAATTCTAAGTAGGTTACAGGACCAATTATAGAGACAAAGCCAAGGGGGGAAAGTCCAGAAGGTGAAGCCAAGCAGAAATAGAGACAAATAGGGTGACAAGATGGCAGGTGGGGGTGAGCGGATCACCATTCATTACTGGGCAGTGAGTGGATGACTGTCATTGAAAGTCCTGGTGAGAGAGACAGGTACAGCTGTATGTAAAAGAATTCACCAAACAGTGAAACTTTACCAACAAGACCCCCCCTTCCCATATTTTTAATCCCTGTCCCAGTCCTGGGATTTGAACACAGGGCTTGAGATTTCTTTACTCAAGGCTAGCACTCCACCACTTGAGTCACAGCCACTTCCGGTTTCTGGTGGCTTATGGGAGATAAAGAGTCTCACCAACTTTCCTGCCTAGACTGGCTTTGAATCACGATCCTCGGATCTCAGCCTCCTGAGTAGCTAGGGTGACAGGCATGAGCAGTGATTGACAGGTGATTGAGCAATGTTCCTGGTGACCGGGTTCCTTCAACTCTGTGACTCTATCATGCTCAGTTCATCCACCGTTTCTCCTTCCTTGACCCAAAAGGGCTGCCACAACTCTAAGCACTATATCCTATCCTCACACAAAAGTGTCCAGAAGGCAGGGCACTGTGGCTCATGTGTGTCATCCTAGCTACTCACGAGGCTGAGATCTGAGGATCATGGTTCAAAGCCAGCCTGGGAAGGGGAGTTTGTGAGACTCTTATCCTCCATTAAACTACACAGAAAAAGCCAGAAGTGGTGCAGTGGCTCAAGTGATAGAGGGCTAGCCTTGAACACAAAGAGGCTCAGGGGTAGTGCACAGGCCCAGAGTGCAAGCCCCAGGACTGGCCAAAAAAAGCCTGGGGTCATGGCTCACGTGGTAGAACACTTGTCTAGCAAGCGTGAGGCCCTGAGTTCATTCCTCAGTGACACACACACACACACACACACAAATTGTTGTGCCAAGTGACACCCAAACTCCCTTTTATGGTAGCCCTAACAGGAAAGCCCATCATTCTGCACACCCTACCTTGAATGGCAGGGGGGGTCAGTCACTCAGCAAAGGCATACCGTGCACCCTACCCACCACGCCTCCTCTCAAAATGCTGGGTTTTGTTTCTCCACTCAGAAGAAGATGGGCTCAGCAGCCAGGAGGCCGGGGACTTGGGCCTTTGAAGTGAGAGCATCTCATTTATCTACCTAGGACAGTACAGAGTGGCCACGGTGGCAGAAGAGTACTTACGTCAGAGGCGGGGCCCTTGTCAGCACCCGGGCAGGAGAAGGTGACAAACTCATGGCACCGCTTGTGTACCACAAAGCAGCAGACTGCAAAAGAGAAAACAAGGGAAAGGGGAGGAGGGAGAAAGGAGGAGGAGAGAGAGGGGAAGAGGGAGAAAAGGACAGGGAGGGGGGAGGAGGGGAAGGGGAGAGAGGAGGAGGAAGAAAATAAGGTAGGAAAGAGGGAAGAGGAAGGAGGAGAAGTAGGAGGAGAGGGGGGAAGAAGAAGGGAAAGAGGAGTATAGGGAGGAGGAGGAAGAAGAGAGGGAGGGGAGAAAGGAAAAGGGGAAGGAGGAGGAAGAGAGAAGGAAAAGGAAGAGGAAGAGAGAGAGAAAGTAGAGGAAAAGGGAGGGGAAAAGGGAGGAGGGAGTACAGGAGGAGGGAGTAGAGAGGAGGGGGGAAAGGAAGAGGAGAACGAGGGGGAGGGGGAGAAGGAGGAGAGGGAAACAGAGGAGGGAGGAGGGGAAGAAAAAAGGAAGAAGAGATCAATAAACCAGGCTTCACAAAACAGGTGTGTCTCTGGCGCCTGCCTACCCCATAACTTCATAACTTCGGCACTCTGTCCTTTGTAGACACATAGGTGCCTAGTGCTGCGTCTCGTACAGGTGTGGACACATTCAAAGGTGACCAGGACACCTGATCACCCCTTAAAGTTCTGCTTGCAAACAGAATGTTGCTTCCTAAATCAGGCAGCAGATGAAGCAAGGGTTTAGGCAGAAGAGATACAAGAATCTCTAAGCCCTGTAGAGGTGCCCACAATGCCAAAGGTAGGTGGGTCCCATTCCCTCACCACAAGCCACCTGATTACAACTAATACTACTTTAGTAACTTGCCACTAAATATGTTAAAAATGCAGACTTGCAGAGCTAGAAGTGTATTTCACGTGCTCAGAGTGCCTGCCTTGAAAGTTCAAAGCCCTGAGACCACTCCAATACATCCATGCATGCATACATACATACACACATCAATAAAATCAGATGGATTTCTGTGAGCTGCATCCATGTCTGGTATGGCGGAAGGGGCAGTCAGAGAATGTCTACAAAATAAAAACTAATGTCATGTTCCAATTTTCTTTTACACTTTTGCCGTCCCAATGTTCTGCACAACTTCTGGATGCCCTGGTCCTGTGGGACAGACACCATGTGCATGGAAGATCGTAGTCTGTCTCAACTACATGTTTGGGATGTAAAAACAGAACAGTAACCCGAGCAAACCCTTGTAGAGCGAGCAATCTGGACGAAGATCGTTACTACCTGCTAACATCACAAAAAGACACCTCTTGCCTAGCATAAACACAGCCCAATCAGTGTAAGTCCCTGGATATAACTACAAACGGATGTTTTTAAGAAAAAGATACAAATGACAGGGATGTATGTAATGACATAGGCAGACAATCGTTGCACTCCTTAAACCCTAAGCCCTAAAATATGGGAAAACTGCAGAAACAACTCATATGATACGTTTCCTTCAACAAATACGCAGCAAAAGAGGGGAAACACACATCCATAGGAATTGAAAACACATATTGCTGGGCACCGGTGGCTCCTGCCTATAATCCTAGCTACTGAGGAGGCTGAGATCTAAGGATCTCTCTAAGGACAGTTCAAAGCCAGTCCAAAGCAAGGAAGTTTGTGCGACTCTTATCTCCAATTAACTACCAAAGAGCTGGAAGTAGAAGTGTGGTTCAAGTGGCAGAGCGCTAACCTTGAGCAAAAGAGCTCAGGGACAGCATCTAGTTCCTGAGTTCAAGCCCCAAGACTCGCACAAAGAAAGAATTGAAAGAGAAAAAGAAGGAAGGAAGGAAGGAAGGAAGGAAGGAAGGAAGGAAGGAAGGAAGGAAGGAAGGAAGGAGGGAAGGAGGGAAGGAGGGAAGGAGAGAAGGAGGGAAGGAGGGAGGGAAGGAAGGAAGGAAGGAAGGAAGGAAGAAAGGAAGGGAGAGAGAGAAGGAAGCTGTTTAAAAAGAAATGTAAATGCAATGTGCACAACTATTTGAAACCCACTTTGAATAAACTAGTGTAAATAAGTAAATATATAAATATAAAGAAAATGGATATTTGCACTTAATATTTTATGATACTGGGGAATTACTGATGTTAAGAGAATTAACTATTTTGGTGTGGTAATAATATTTGGTAAGATGATGTAGGCATTTAAATAGAATATCTTTGAGGATACATCTTAGAGGCTTTAGGGATAGAATAATCCAGTACAAAATCATTTGGGATGCCCAGACGGGTGATGGATTAAAAAAAAAAAAGATCCAGGTGATGGGCATATAAGGAGTCATTATACTAATTTTCCTGCTTTTATATGAGTTTGATGTTCCATAATCAAACATTATGAAACACAGAGAGTGAGAAGGAAACTGAGAGGTGGAGCCTAAATCATCAGCAACGGAGGGTGAAGGAAGGCTACAGAGGGGGGAGGAGGGCTACAAACTTGCAATGTGCTGATTCTCATAATCCTCTGGAGATTTAAACTCCTGAAAAAACTGCAAGTAGAAGCCAGACCAGTGACTCACACCTGTAATCCTAGAGATCACAGGATCAAAGGTTTGAAGTCAGTATGGACTGGAAAGTCAAGAGACTCTGATCTTCAATAAATGAGCAAAAAACCAGAAGTGGAGCTGTGGCTCAAGGGCAGAGTGCCAGAGACTTGAGTGGAAAAATCTAAGAGACAATGCTCAGGGCTTGAGTTCAAGCCCCAGTACTGGCACACAGGTGCACACACACATTACTAGAAATATCATGTATCAATTTCAAGCCATAATTAGGAAATCTGGACAAAGACAACTCAATCCAACTACACCTCTAAAGGCCTTCACACACAAAGTTATATAAATATTATCCAAGATTTTTGTGTGTATTTCATCTGGATTGTTTTTTTACTGTTATATAGCATGATTTCCACCTTCTTCTTTTTAACCCATTTGGAATTTCTTGAGCTCTGATGTAGAATGGGACTTGATTTGCCTCTTCCTCTCCTCAACTAGGTAACTAATTGTCTCAGCATCCTTGATTGAATAATTCAGCCCTTCCTACAGATTTCAAGTGTCACCTTTATTATATGCTCAATAATTATATATATACTAGAGTTTGTCTCTGTGCCTTCTGTTCATTCCCCTGATCTGCCTTGAAGTATGGCAATGGAGGTTTTAATTATAGTCACTTTATAATATGTTATATCTTGGCAGGGCAAGGCCTCCCTCATTATCCTAACTTCCAACATTTTCTTGGCGATCATTGTTATTTATTCTTCCAAGAGAACTTTTAGAAGCAGCATATCAAGATTTTTTTTAAATTCCAATGGAGTTTTTGTTGAATTATATTTTAGTCAATGGGGTGGGGGTGGTGGGGAATTAGGACCTTGAACTGAACTGAATATTTTGAAGTTAAATTCAAGATAACGGGCAATGGGACAACATGAAATCATTCTACTAGGAACCAATGGTTACCTTGCTGAAAAAAAAAGTAATCTCAGCAGTGGTGCTGTGGCTCAAGTGGTTGAGCGCTAGTCTTGAGTTGAAGAGCTGAGGGACAGCACCCCAGGCCCAGAGATCAAGCCCCATGACTGACAAAAAAAATCTCATATTGTATCTCCCACCAACCTCCATTTCCCCCATATTGCTTCTACACATGAGTCATTTAGTGCCATCTGAGGGACTCTATTTTTATGCCCGACATTTTCCCCCCATTTTAGTTTTCCAACTGGTCACTGTTTACAAATACAAAAGCCATAGGATTGTAGGCTCTGTATGTTGGAAAGCATTTCTAAACTCATAATAATTTTGTGGGTTTTCAATTGCTTTGAGATTTCTGGCTAGAGGAGCGTATTATCACAGATCATAATCGTTTCCTCGTTTCTCATAGATTTGTCTCTTCCCGCCCCCGCCCTTACATTTCTGCCTCAAGAACTTCCAGAACAAGGAAAAAAAAAAAGGATGAGCTTCAAACATAAAGGTTGTTTTGGTTTGTTTTTATACCAATTGGGGTTTGAACTTGGGGACTTAAGTTCTTCTTTGGGTTTTTCACTCAAAGTTGGTACTCTACCACTTGAGCCACAACTCTATTTCCTGCTTTTTGCTAGTCAGCTAAAGAGTCTCTCAGATTTGTCTTCCCAAGCTGGCTTTGAACCGCAGTCCTCAGATCTCAGCCTCCTGAGAAGCTAGGATTACAGGCATGAGCCACTAAGCCCAGCTATGCTTTGTAAGTGGTCTATTATTATAGTTCAATTTTTTTTTTAGCTAAGAACTATTTAGGAAAATTCCCCCCATCCACCCCCGATTTTCAAGGAGTTGTTTTATTCCAGAACCTCTCTTCAAAATGTCCAAATAGCAGTCGCAATCTTATTCATCCTTATCTACTTTGGTGGGGGAAGTCATCTCTAGTTTTCTGGAGCCTGCAATTATTTAGTGAATGAATATCATCGGACACAGAAAAAAAGAAGAGACACCCCTCACCCCCCCACACAAGTCTCTTTGGGCAGTCTTCCTATAGCCACAGAACTAAATTAACCCATGTCCACCTGGACAAATCAATGTACAGGGGACCTGACTTTTCCCCCATTCACAGTCTGCAGAGATGCTGGGCACAGACTAGCAGCTCAGCTTCCGGTACAGATCCTTTATTTCCACAGAGCCTCTTTCTAAAAAGTTGTGCAAATCAAATTCCCCATTAACTAAAAAACTCTTTTATTAAAAAAAAACGGAGTAGGACTGGCTATTTTAAGAAACAAACTAAATCTTTTTTGTGATACAAATAAACACCCCCTCATTCCTGTTTGGCAAATTCAGGGTAAGACGTAGTTTTGCTTAAAGAAGAGGCAACACTTAATGATGCTGCTGGGGATGGGGGTGGGGGTGGAGTGTTAGGCTCCATTTTCACATAGGTATCCAATAAGAGGCAAGATCTCATGGTGCTTCGTGGCTTATTTAATTACTCCTTGCTCTCCAGAGTTAGAAAACCTGCAGTCTGGAGGCCTCTGAGCCTGGTCTTTAAGCTGGCTTTATTAGCACTACACAATGGGAGTCTCCACTTGAGTGCCTAGGG